AACTTGGTGAGTGAAAATGCGTAAATAGGCAGCCCAAATGAGTGGGTAGTGTTTAGAGGCCGTTAAATAAATAATCGTCTGATTTATGCAAAACGGGTAATCATGAGTTCATATGCTCCACGTAAGGGACACGGGAATGAGGGCATAAATTGGTTGACTCACCACAAAGTAAGATAATTATCTTTCTAAAATTTACGCTTTTGAACACAATTTTTTTTGTAAATTCATGACCAACCACGCCTTCGAGATGGGACAATGGAGAAGAGACCACACAGCAGTACAATTCACACCCATGTCTCAAAGAGGAGGAAGCAGTGCACACGCCACATGTTGGTTGCTTGTGTCAAAAATATTCATCCATTATGTGCGTGAATGACGTTTATATCCACATAGATATGCTAGGCACATGTATACACACGTACATTTCGATGTAATACAGATCAAATATAGCGCAGAATGGGGTGGAAAAAGTCGCTGCCAAGCAGAGGCTCCATGAATTGAAGCACAGAGAAGTTGGGGAAAATCTAAAACGAGTGCAAATAGATCCAAACGAAGGGAGCTCTAAGGTTGGAAACAGGTGATTGAGAAACCGTTAGAATTTTATTGCACCCGATCATTCACATTTTCCCAATGGGACGTGTGAATTCTGAGGATAGGAATAAATTATGGACTGGGATGGTACAGATTCCTAGACTATTCGATAATTGTACAATAAATTAAAATTAAATTTTCTTGCTCATAACAGGTCAGCCATTGAAAAAGGTAGAACACTTCGAAGACACCATAAGACGAGCGCGTTGATGCAATCGTTGGTTAATACAATTTAGGAGCTGGAATTGGTGCTGTAGAAAAGGAATCGGAATCTACATGTACGAATCCTGGAGGAAATAACTTTGAATTCGTATGTCCATGTAATTAGCTGTGTCGGAAACGATAAGTTAGGTAGTAAAAGGGTAAACGTGAAAAGCACGCAAGTCAGCAGCCATTTATTTTCAGCTGTGAGTAGGGAACGGAATCGAAAAATGGCATTTTGTCCTAAAGGAAATGGTGAAGGCAAACATGCAACACAAGAGAAGCAGCCGACCCTACAGAAAGGAATTCCAAAACGAGAAATCAAAACTGGAAATATAAGCAACGTGGACTACCAATCTATCAGATTCAAGAGTGAAATGGTAGGGACAAGCCACAACGGCCTAGTTGGCAAGAGGTTTGCAGCCCAATGCCTAATCAAAGTGATCAAATAAAAGGCACAGACGGCAAAGTTATTGACCACCTGTGGACTCTGAAAGTAATGGAACCCAGTCTAGGACAAGAAAGTCATTCAAAACAATAGTACGGGGACCACAGAAAGCAAAAATTAATCCGACCACTAATGAGAAAAGTTGCATCACATTAGCAATAAAAGGGAAATTAAACATGGCGTAAAACGCTATCAAAGAGTAGCGATTACTAAAAAGCCGTAAAAATATCCGTTCTCAGTAAAAATCGGTCATAAACTGAGCAATAAAAGGACATGAAAAACAACTCACAATGCCTTGATACTTGAAAGAGTCGTTGATGGTACGAATGAGAAGCCAGCACGGCCACATGTACTCGAATCGAAACTCCATTAAAAAATCCAAAACCACGATTGTTGACCAAATAAGGAAGAGCTTCAAGTATGACCCAAAACTACAGAAAAACAACATGAAATTTAAACTGAATGCATGCGCAACGAAACGGCAGTTTCAACATCAAAGACGGAGGGTATGACAGAATTTCGGGTCGCATTCATGAAGGCCTTTTCCAAACTATCCCCACAGTGACAGAAATAAGATTGACTGAGCTCTTACAAAGAAGTACATCTAATCCGCAAACTGCAAGCGTAAAAACCCATTAATATTAGTTAAATTCCAATCACCAAGTGAAGTAAAATTGAACATATTTGAAACACTGTTCAGAGTCCACGAAACAACAACTCATTAAAGGAACCAAGTGACTACACCAATAACCGTACACATGATCAAACTTGACGAAAAAGGGTGTGGATGGGTTAGTGAAACCAGGATGTAACAAATAAACCGCACGGAGAAAACAAACTGTTAACCGGATCAAAAGTAAACAAAATAGCCTTAAGGGCAGATGATTGTAATGGAAATGTGCCAAGAGTACTAAATATGAGGCGGAAAAGTTGATAAGATACTCCAAAAAATTAAGAACAGAAAACTTACGTATTAGAAAATGTGTCACAAGGCTTTGGTTTACGATTAGATCGCTTAATTCGACCGTATTCACAATTTTTTCGTCGCACATACATTACTCCAGACGAAAAACATGAGCGATATTACAGAGTCCCAGCTTCAACTCTGCGGGAATCAAACTCGGTAGCAAGCCTGCTCCTTAATTCGACCCAACTGGTCTATCAAAACAAAATCCGTTTTTACACGTTTATGAAACTTACAAGCATTTAGAAGTTGTATGTTTAAATAATATACTAAATTTTGCACTTTTAAAATAAGATTATAATAATACTTTGCTTATGTGATCACCTGTGTGTCTGGAGGTTATGTTGGTATTCATCTTGATCGGGGGCGTGAGGACTGTGCTTCGGGTCAAGCCAAAGCCCAATCCCGCTTGCCCTTCACTGAATACATGAGGTCAGCCTAACTTAGTGCCTTCTTCTACCTTGTGGGAAGACTCAGGCACTACAGAATTCATGAGGGTTGAAACATAATTTATGAGACCACCTAATGTCTGGCGGTTAATTTAAGACTACTTTTGGCAATTTTATGCGTCGGCTGGTCCTTCGCTATGATACATGTACTCAGCTTCACTTAATACCGTCTTATACCGGGCAGGAAATCGCCGGACGCAACGCTTGCTGGATGGAAGTGGCTAACACGTTTATGTGAACAAACAAGAAATTGTATTTTTTCATTATGGTTTTACACATCGTTATGTGAAGTTCCATGGAGTTTCCTGAAAATTACAAAGTCACACTAGTAATCTCAAGTGTAGAATGACTTCACCCAATCAGACAGAAGGCTCAGAGTTAAATTCGCGCCTTGAGTTGAAGGCTGACACATTCTCTGAAAAACGGCGGTCGTCAAAGTGACTCTGATGGTTTGTTTATGTGACTATCTGACGTTCTGTGGTCCCTTTAGAATTTGTCTGGCCTCTGTACACGTGGGCTGGCCTCCGGGCCAAGTTCAGGCCCCATTTGCCCTATCGTCATCAAAGTACATGTGTTTAAACTCACTTAATCCTTATTTCGCCATATGGGAAGCATCCGGCCGCTACAGCGACCGACATACATACAGTTAGTGGGTGTAATGCTTTGATTATGGAGTACCAAATGTTCAGCGGTCACTTTAGGATTTGTCTGACCTTTGCACCCGTGAGCTGGAATTCGGGCCATACTCAGGCCCTTTGGAAAAAAGGTAACCACCCTCACTTACTGCCTTTTTCCACACGGTGAGAAGTCACGAGGACTTAAATTAGTGGCAGCGTAAAACGAAACCAACATTTTCCCAATTACCTCCATCCTAGCACGTACCGTTCGTTGCGTGTACCTTCGGTGTGGAAGACACCCATTCGCATCGGTGTTGATAGAATCTTTGAAACCTTGACATCAAGAGAGTTCAGACTGACGTCTGCACTTGGCTTCACCTTATTCCTGCGTTCCACAGACAAGCTATCAACCACTGAAGCGATACCGCCGTGAACCATCTGGAGAAGTTTCGTGTCGGAATTTCCATTACAAAATCCGTGCAGAGGTGTCGGGATCATCCCGTTTACCCTGTAACGGGCCTGTTGTGGATCAGAGTTCCACCGTTTAGTTCTGGAAGCAATTGATGGTAACAGGTGTATGCGGTCCCGAATCTGATTGTCAGACCGAAGTTAACTCCAGATCCAGTTGAAGCTGCCGAGGAAACCAAATGCGGTTGCTCCGTCTCCTGCTATCTGTCAAATGGAGCGGATGATTCGTGGCGCGGGATGCTACCAAGGGGAGCGCCGAGGACGTCGCTAAAAAGTATTGGGCAGTGTAATGCTTCGTTTTTGCGACTATTTGATGTTTGGCGGTGACTTTAGCATTTGTATGACCCTTTTAATCGTAGGCTGGCCTTTGCGTATCGGTGTTTCCCTTACCGCATCCATGTATAGGTATCGGGGATCAGCATTATGCGAACCGTCTTTTGTACGGCACCGCTTAAGTCCCCTTTCATATCAGTGTATCGAAGTCTGTAGCGTCCCGAGGCTTCCTATTGGGCTGAAGAAGGCATAAATGAGGTTGAATACATGTATTAGGAAGACGACAGGGCAAATGTGGTCTGAGCATGTCCCGAAGGCCACCTATCGTGTACATGGGCCAGACAAATCCCAAAATAACCATTAAACGTAAGGTAGTCACATGAACATGCTCTCTACGACTCCTGCCCTCGGGCCAAGTGCAGCCCCTTAGAACCAGGGTAGCAATTGACTTGCGCAGCTGGCTTGGAGTAATTCTTAGTATTTTTGGATGTTTTGTGACAGCTGAAGCAAGAGGTGTTCAGAGAATATATTCGAGAACACCAGTATGTCTGGCGGTTACTTCGCTAATCGTCTTGCCCTTCTTTGCTATTTGTTTGTTTGCAAAAGATAAATCCCTTCTCATTCTAAAATGCACATATTTTGCCCGCTTTAGTCCCTGCGCTACTTTGCAGGAAGTCTAAGTGCACTGTAGTTGAAATTTCATAACTTCGGTGCCCCCTGCCCTCAACAGTTTACATAGATTTCAATTTGGTTAGTGTTGGCTGCAACTCCCCCTTAATTATTGAATATTTATCTAAATTATTTGCGTTTTTTGTTAACAATTTTGCAGAAATATGCTAGAGAATAGTTATAAACTAATGACATCCTATCTCCTTTTTATAGCATTCGATTTGTTTTAGTTATCTGTGATAGTTTCAAAGGGCCTTGAGAATAGTCCCTCATATAAGTTTATTATTTCCTGCGCTTTGCGTGGTCAATCGAGGGGAGTCATGTGTGCGGGGCGCTTATTGTTGCCTTTGGAAACGGGTTCATACCATGGGCATGAGCCAAAGATTTCTGTCGTCGGTGCTGGTTCAGTAGGAACGGCAGTGGCGTTTTCAATTATGACCAAAGTGGGCATACGTTTTAGAAACATTTCTGTAGAATATTGCGAACACTGTTGTCCTCTATGATATTGACAAAGATAAGTGCGAAGGTGAAGTGATGGATTTGGATCAGGGCTCCCTGTTTCTGGAATCGTGTAAAGTAATCGGTGGCGATGGTGCGTTTCATTTAGCTTTTCTTATATTTCCCTCATGAACGAAACGATGGCCGTTTTCACATTTAGACGTGACGAAGACTGCTAACTCCGACATTGTCATAGTGACAGCTGGAGCCCGGCAAGCTGTCGGCGAATCAAGACTGAACCTTGTTCAACGCAATGTCGACATTTTTAAGAGTGAGCTTGAACAATGCACTTGTTCTGCATCATTTTTACGCGGATGTGAGATGTGGCTTTATGATTCTATTGGTTTTGATTAACGAAGTAATTTGGGATTTCAGAACTCATTCCGGCTCTTGTTAAACAAAGCCCGGATTGCATTCTTGTTATCGTGTCAAATCCAGGTAGGTATTTAACTCGGCATTAATCTAACGTGTTCGGAATGCCTCTATACCTCTCCTTTTTTTTCAGTCGATATCATGACTTATGTCTCCTGGAAGCTGAGCGGTTTTCCCCAGCATCGAGTTTTGGGATCTGGGACTATGCTTGACACCGCTAGGTTCCGACACATTCTCGGCCAGAAATTGGATGTGCATGCCAGTACCATTCACGGTTACGTGGTTGGTGAACACGGAGATTCAAGCGGTATGTGGTGCTTTCTTAAACCTATATTTCTGTTATTGTAGTTCCAGTATGGAGCAAGGTAACCGTTGGTGGAGTAAGTCTTTCCGAGGCTTATCCTAAGCTTGGTCAGCCTGGCGACCCCGACGATTTTGCTTCCGTTCACAAGGCTGTTGTTGATAGGTAGTAGCAATGTATCTATTGTAAGATTGCCAGCAATTTTGTGGGCTGAATGTTCGCATCCTTCCTCTAGTGCTTACGAAATTATTCGCATGAAGGGCTGCACTGCTTGGGCTATTGGTCTCTGTTGTGCCTCTCTTTGTAACGCCATTCTTCGCAACAAGAAGATTGTGATTCCAGTTTCCACCTATCTTAAGGTTAGTTTATCATTACAAATTTTGCTCTTGCATTGCTAAAACTTCGAGGTTCACTGTCTTTTTGTCTTTAGGACAAACTTGGCATTAAACAGGAAGTGTTCACGAGCGTGCCCTGCATAATCGATTCCTCTGGCGTCTCTGCGGTGGTCAATCTCGATTTTTCGCCTATTGAGAAACAAAAGCTGATGGCCAGTGTTAACACTCTTCAGGGAATCATCGCAGATATCAAGTGGTGAATAAAATAAAGTTCATACCCATTCTCTAGTTTGATCTGGATTATGAAAATTGGAAACCTTTTTCCTTGAATACAATAACTGGTTAGCAATCTCGTGTTGTGATCTTCGAGATGCAGCATTCTTTTCGCATAGCTTGAAAGTCTAGTACTATGCCTAGCTTAGCGCATACTAGGTTCCGGCGTGTGGGCGCTTGCGGTTTGGCTGAAAGTAATTCCTCTTGGCCGTTTTGTAGGCGTTGTCAACAAAAGCGGTCGTTATAGTCTGCACATCAAGTGAGTCATGTCAGCACGGCGGTGAGCTGAGTCAACACTTCTTGTCGGTTTTGCGTTGTCAACACACCATTGTTCCTCTTGTCTTCCGTGTCTCTTGGCGTTCGAAAGAACTGAAAATTTTATGCACGAAATACGGCAGGTAGACATGAATCAAATGCTTACTCCTCTTAGGCAGTAGGACTTGTCAATCCTCTTTTTTGGTAGTGTGTAGCCGATGCAAAACTATGGTCTTAAGCGCAAGGAAGTCGCTTGTCCGAACATTGCGAATGGCCATTTTCTCCCCTTCATTTAGATACCAACTTGCCAAGCAAACCCGATGGCAAGTTATTTGCGAAGTAACTTGGGATGACCAATGTTAGTGATTTCCAAGCTCTTTCCCTCTTCTGCGTGAACTTACCCTATCAGTTCAGAGTTTGTCCTAGACCTTAGCCGCTTGTTTTCTTTTCTCCCGTGTCCGTATGGCCTAGTACCAGGCGGCCCTTTAAGTACATCACAGGACAGCGTGTAAGGTCATATGACCATAAAGACACTACTTTTGTGCATCGGAGGATGATGCAGATCTGTGGCCAGATTGGGCCTTGTCCTCCAACGCCCCCTTGACCCCGCATGACACCGTACGCAGGGGTATGCAAGGGCGAGGCTACTTTTGCAATGATGTTTATCCTAGGAGTTATTTACGGTAAGTGGTTTAACGCGCAATAGCTCAGACACATACCTTAGCACCAACAGAATTAAAAGTGGGTTTGGTGTGAGGCTCGCCAGTCTTGTATTGATGCTTTTATAAAGAGATTAAATAGTGCTTAGTGGCAGTGCATCATTTGATGTCCGCAAAGTTAACTTTATAAGTGCCATACTACTTATATCGCATATCTGGCCAATAAGTAGGTTGATTTGGTCAATTTCACGTTCTTTTACAATTCCGTAAAGCTTCATGCAATTGTTACCTCCCGTATCGCTACACCGACTAGAAAGCCTTCAAAGCTTTTTAGTGATGGTGACGGGTGAGAAGGGTTCTCTAGTTTAAGGTGTGGATGTTAATTTTTACAAACAGATGTCAGACAACTTTTAATAATAGCTTTCAGTCAGTTTATTTTCCACGTCCTTCACTTGTCTCTTCACTTATAAAGAGAATCACCTCGAGGAAGTGAGTGACAGTAGGTGTGAAAGACACTCCGCAATGTCATGATAGTGACTGGAGGTGCAAAGGTTGGATATCATTCCCAATGTCTATCGCGTCCATCATTATAATGTTAGACGAGGCTGTGAAGACGTGTTGCCGCTTTAGCTCTTCCAGCGGTTTTAAATTGGACTCTCCAACCATTGTTAAGACGGGACGTGACTTCTCTCACTCTTTTGTTCTGTTTGACTATCGACGATAATTGCGCTTCAAATCGATGTGAATGGTTTGTTGTTATTTTTAAGTCGCACTCGAGTTTCCAGTGTAGGGAAGGTAGACCTGTTAGTACCCTGCGCTAAGTTTGAAAAGCTATAAACATGAATACTAATGGCACGAAACAGCTGTGATGGTGGAGACAATAAAAGTCAGCATAGCGAATAGTGTGAACAAAGTCTCGAAGGTTTGCATTCTGCCTATGTACTAATAAAAGGCTCCACAAACACGGTTGTTATGCCTACAGGAGGGAGTGTTCCATTATCCACATGAACATGAAAAATGCCGTGTGCTTGGCTTATTGAAGTTAGTCGAAATGCCAGTCTATAATAGCACTGAGGGCATGCAAAAATGTGGAATTATGTTGCCTTAACATTGCAAATACGGCAAGAAGACAGTGACAGTCGCTTCAGCGGTGCATTTGGTGCCACTTTTTGACACATTTTAATCAAGGATGATTCTCAGTTGGTTGAGAGGGTAAAGCAGTCCACTTCATTTGCAATTGTGATTGATCTTCAACACGGTCAATGTAGTAAAATGATGTGCATTTTGCATCACATCTGTAATGCGTTATGTGGTTGGTTCTGTCACGGTTTTGGATTCAGGCCGCTAAGGGGCTCCTAGCACTGACAATGTCGAATGTAGCTTATGCCCCTCCCCCAACTTCAAGGAACTCTCAGAAGGGTGTACTGGCGACAGAGTAAAACAGATTCCGTCCTTAAAGAGGGTCCCATGGCTGGGAGTGAACCAAAAGGGGAAATTCCTTGCAGAACCATCCGCACTGCCATCACAAAGGTGTCAATGGTGTGATCATGTGATACTTTCGCCACGTCTCTGGTGGACGGATGGAATCCAGGACGTTGGGAATGTGCGGCACTGAGGGA